CTCCGCCTCAAGTTTCCCGCCACGGAAACAGCAACCTGGCAAGCGCCGCCCCTTTTCTTTACCAGGAACTGCTCCGGTCGCCATTTTAAATCCCAAAACAGAGACGGCAGCCGGTTTTTTCCTTTTTTCCACTGAACCTAATTCCTTGCAGGGATTCCTAAATCTACCCTTATCCCATAAGGAGGGGGGAGCTGCACAGCAAGGTCCTTGTGCCAGTGCTTCTCCCTTTAATACCCAGACCATTCATTCCTCTCCCCCCCTTCATTCTCTCTCTTCACTCGGAAACCGGCAAGCTATCTTCAACTATACATAAATAAATAATAAATAAATAGTAATAATAAATTAATTTTATACAAAATTAAAAAAAAAATACTCAGACATACACATCATAATTCCTCCCTAGAAACGCCTGCATACAATCTGGTGCAATTGCGGACCTGACCACCTTAAGCATACCTGCAGTCTACAGCAAGCAGATTTGCCGCAACAGTAGACAAGACCAGACAACCTCCTACCACTGGTCAAGTGGTCAGAAGAGCAGGATGACCACTCCCTGCTGTACCTGTTCAGCCTATCTCGCCAACTGATCCCCTGCCAGAGCTCCCTCTCGGTAACACTGAGAAAGCTCAATTCAGGATGGAGGAGCCCACGGTGTCTCAACCCAAGTACACCACCTCCCCTCCCACCAGCCGCAAAAGACAGAAATCCTCCAAGCAGGAGGCAGCAGGCAGGATCAAAGCCAAAGCTAAGTCCATTTCTGGAAGGAAACCTTCCAAGTTGGCAGAGAAACAGGCTAACAGAAGGCACCAGACTCTGGAGAATGAATTCTCCAAAGCACAAAAGCAGGCCAGGACAAAGGCGGAACAAATGGAGGAGGTGCCTTTCGATCTGCCCTTGGGACCCTCTATCCAAGGAGTATGGTTCCCAGAAGGGACTTTCCAGGTCCTGGAGGAGGAACAAGCCCAAGCAACCACACCTGAGGCCACCTTCACACCCACAGCAGCAGGGCTAAGGGGGGCCGAGACCGAAAGTCTCCCCTTCGAGGATCAGATCCAAACCCTAATCGAGCAGGCACTTAACAGGATACTGACCTCTATGGCTAACCACGGGTCGAGGACCGAATCCGTGATGGACATTACCCCAACCTGCTTCCAACCAGGGGAAACCAGACACTAGGACTCCTCCTTTCCACCATGATCCTTTCAAAGCAGGGGCTCCTCCCCTATGGAGGATGACCAAAGGACCTCTCATGGAGGGAGGAGGAAGACCTTACTCCAGACCCCCTCCATTCGGAGGGGTATTCAACCCGTCTTTATTCCTTCCCCTGCTCCACAGAACCAGTGCTACAGCCAACATTGGACCGGACCATACCCCACAGCCAGACCCATCGCCTGGTGCAGACCCATTGTTCTGCGAGCCCGTTGTGGCTCAGCACCACATTCCCTACCCGACACTCTTTCGGAATGCCATCAAGAAACAATGGTCATCACCGGGCACCTTTCCTCCCTCCGGGGGGAACAGACAAGAAACTGTTCAGTGCAGCGCCAGAACAGTCAGAGGACTTTGAGGTGCCAAAGGTGGATGAACCCTTTGGATTCCTCTTCTCCCCATCCCCAGTGTCGGGGGACATGGCGGAAGTCTTAAAGTCCGATGACAAGAGATGGAAACCTGCATTCCGCAGGATCCACCAGGCGGCGGCATGGGCTGTAAAAGCCGCCACCTGTGCATCCTTCTTTGCATGAACCTTCTTACTCTGGATTCGTCAACTACAAGCCAGAATCCCCCAGGAGGAGGTACATACACAACAAGACCTGAGCAAGCTGGCGGCTGCATCAGAATATGTCTCTGATGCCACACTACATGCGGCCAGGTTCTCATCCAGAGCGTTAGCATCCAATGTCTCAACACGCAGGATGCTATGGCTCAAACACTGGCAAGCCGACCCAAAGGCCAAGTGGCACTTAGCCACGGCCCCGTACCAGGGTGGGCAGCTATTCGGAGAAGCACTGAACCCCTACTTGACCAAAAACAAGGACAAGCATAAGGTGTTGGCCCGCTCCAGCAGGCGGGCCAACAGACGCTCAAACCCATACACCCATAGGCAGCCCTTTCGGACCGTATTGGTGGATATATGGTAGGGTATATAGACCACACCTCTATCATAATAAAAAAAGAACAATTAAAGAAACATGAAACAATCAACATCTTAAAGGACAATCCAACTTCCTATATGGAAACTATGTAAGAACACAGTCAGACAAGTTTAAACACACTGCAGCAACAAGAACTTCACAAAAAGTAGTCACACTTCCTATACAACATCTTCCAACAAAATGGATACCTATCACTCAATCCAGTACAGCACAACCAACACAAGCTATGAAAAGGATAACACTGCCATACATCAAAAACACTTCAGAAACAACCAACAGACTATATTACAAGCACACGCCATCACCATAGCACAGAAACCATCTAAAGCCCTCCAGAACATCTTAAGTAAACCAAAAGACCCAGTAGTCCAATAAGAAAAAAGAGCTCATCTACAGCAGGGCTTTTCAACCTTTTCACCCATTGTACCACTTTTGGGTTATGGCAACATCCGAGCATCACCAATCGCCTAACAAGGTGCCAAAAACTCGATGACCCCCCCCCCGAAAGGAAAAAAGTGATGAAGTACAGGTAGTCCTCGACTTACAGTAGTTCGCTTAGTGACTGTTCGAAGTTACAATGGCACTGAAAAAAGTGCTCCCCCAAGCCACAGCTGAGCAAGACACCTGCTTGCCCACACAGTGGTGCTCTTCCTCCTGTCCAAGGTTTTCATTGTTGTGACATTTCTGTTGAAGATTGGCAGCGGGGATGGGGTGGGGTGGGGTGTTTGGTTTTTATTCCCCCCGTCTACTGGGTGGTTGCAGCAGTTTTTGGTCACTTCACATGGTCCTGGGACACTGTGACCATCATAAATATGAATCAGTTGCCAAGCATCTGAATGTAAATCACAAGATCCTGGAGAGGTTGCAATATTCCAGCTGATCAGCGCTTCTTCTGGGTTCAGCAGAAGTGCCAGGATCAGCGCTGAGCTCCAGCTGGAGCATGGCGCTGATCCTGGCACTTCCACTGAGCCCTGACAGCTCTGCAGCTCCAGCCATCTCTCGCTCAGGCTTGTGCGGTGCTGCCACCGGTTCAGCTCATTCCCCTCCCCCGCTACCACTTTTCTAGGATGGTTGCACACCACCTGCCAGGTGCCAATGTACCACAGGTGGTACCCGTACCACTGGTTGAAAGGTCCTGATCTACAGCATAAGGACTGTAACAGCTACTACCATTATGTAGAACAAGCAAAAAACAAACAGAATGCATCCATGAACACCAACTAGTAATCAGAAGATATGATAAAACTCTTTAATTTCACAACACATGGATAAACCAGAACACACCCTTCTCTAGCAATCATACCCAGTTAATCGGGGATTAATGCTAGACAATCAATCAAGCAGCTAACAATACCCTAATCAAGGAACCACCAAGAAGAAAACCATACCCCACCTACACTGGCAGGGCAAGCTACTGTACATAAGCAGGGAGCAAATCTACACTCACTATCACTAGTGTTGCCTAGTCAGCTAATGAAATGTCCACAAGCAAACAACCAGCTTAGAGAGCACCAAGAAGTGCACAATTGTATTAAATCAAAGTAGATTCTGTGGCTGCAGGAAACCTGAACAGACTCGGGGGGGGAGGGGAAGAGTTGGTTGCCATGGCAACAAGAACAGAGTTTTGGTGGTGACTTGCGGTTATCTTTCCATAGACAATCATAACTACTTGGCTGAAAAGAACCCTATTATGGTTTCAGTTATCTATTGGGAATATGATTAGGGGTGTTGTATTCAGGTTGAATAAACAATGTCCAAAATGAGGGGAAAGTTCTTATGCGAAAGAAGGCAAATGAAAGCTCTTTTATTTGCTGACATAACAAGTTGTGATAGGTTTGACACATTGCCTTTCTGTTCTCTTTCCTTTGTATGGCAATCAATATATCTATTTGATCTGTTTGATCGTAGCTCTTGATGTCATGCTTTTCAGATACTTTTAAACTGTTAGCATTTTATCTTGCTGCATGTACATTTTTAAAGTGCTGTATATTTGTTTAATAATTATTTATTTAAAAAGGAAGGCTCTCAGGATGCTATGGAATCACAAACCAAAACTAATAGCAATATTTATATCTAATGGCTTAATAGCAAGATTTTTTCCCCCATTTACTAAGGAATGCTCACAAGAAAACCAGAAAAGTGAGTTGTCCAATATTTTCATTTGTGCAGTGTCATTATTTCTATTTTTCTATTATGTTTCTTTCTTCTTTGCCCAACTGAGATCACTAGAACAGGGCTTTTCAACCAGTGGTATGTGTACCACAGGTGGTACTTTAGCACTTAGACAAATGTAGTGGGGGAGGGGAGTGAGCTGAAGCAGCAACAGCACCACATAAGCCTGAGGGAGAGTCAGCTGGGGCTGCAGGGTTCAGCAGAAGCACCAGGATTGGCGTGCACAGCTATATGCTGATCGGCGCTTCTGCAGGGCTCGGCAGAAGCCCCAGGATCAGTGTGCACTTCTGCAGGCTGCAGGGGTAAGACAGAGGCCCCAGGATTTGCGCTTCTGGCATGTCCAGAAGAGAATAGGAGGATGAGGGAGAGAGAAGAGGCTATAAAAGGAGTAGGTTTTGGCAGAAGCGGGAGAGAACAAAAGATAACGGGGAAAGAAGGGGACAGTGAAAGAGGGAGAAGTGCAGCTTTGAGAAGAGAAATCAGCTGGAGATGCAGCGAAGAGAAGAGGAGGGGGAGAGAGGATATAAAAAAGGAGGGGGGAGAGAAGAGAGGATATAAAAAAAGGAGGGGAGAGAGAAAAGAGGATATAAAAGAAGTGGTGAGAAATTTCTTAAATGAGTTTTGCTCCATTATATAGTCTTGCCACATTTGTTAAGTGAATCATTGCAATTGTTAAGCCAGAAAAAAGGCATTCACTTATTCAAGTAGCATATAAGTGGGAGAATAAACAATTCACAAGTAATACATTTTACTTTTTGGAATGTAAAAAGGAATGCTAGGAAAAGTTCTTTTAGCTACTAACTGGGTTGTGAAGTGATTTTCAGATTTTATTTGCTTTATAGAGTGAATTGCCTCATTGTAAAATAATAGATTTTTTTTTTCTTTTCCAACCCTCCATACCTTTCCTTCTCTAACACTAGAACAGTTTTTAGCATTATGAAAGCACTTTTTGTAGGAATTGAAGGTATTGAATTTCTGGCTAGAATGCAAAATAGTTCAATATCCATTAATGCAGCGTGTTTATCATTTCTCAGGAGACTTAGGGCCCTGATTTGGCTGAAGATTCTTGAAATAAGGGGTTACATTTTCCTTGGATATATGAGAATGATTTCTCTATGGAATGACTTGAAAATGAGAGAAGAGTGAAATTTATTCTGAAGACTTTTGAATGATTTTAACCACAATAAATCTGGTATGAATTAATAGAGTTTCTGGTAGTATTCTGGCCTTCACGCATGATTGATTTTGTATTGAAAGAGAGAAAGGTACTTCCTGCCTTCCCTTTTGTTTATTTAAATTTTCAAGAGATGATTGGTTAGCCATGGGCAAAAACAAGGGAATCATAACTAGGGATAAATGTCCTGATTTCTTGCATTTGCTTATAGGTGACTTTTGATGCAATTTCTATGCTTTTCTCTTAGAGAAAAAAATGCTACCTCCAATATAACAATATTTAAATTAAATATTGACAGATATCCCCAAAAACCATATATCAAACTCTTACATAGCTTTTTTCAAATGCTGAATTAATATATTAGTAGCTATGGCAATAACAGAAATGGTTTCAGGCTGTTTTAAGACACTAAATATTTTCTATATGATTACATGTATTGCAGCAAGCAAAGTATGATGAAAAGGAGTAAAAAAAATCTGACAGTTCACATGTTTGGAACTGCCTTAAGAATATTTTTTTTTCTTCAAGCCTAGACAATTCAGTAGAAAGAAATGGGGCATATATGCATTGTTATCTCTAGGTTGTGGCAGTGGTCCTAACAGAACGAATACCGTATTTTATTCTCACACTTCTAAAGAATACGCAAGTCAGAGACAACCCACAGAACATGAACTTTTGTGAATTGGACTCCAAATTCATCTAGATTATTTTAATAACTAAATTGTCACTGATTAACAGAGGCTCAGCTTTAAGTTCCTTGCTGAGGTTTGGAGGTAGCATGGTATCACAGCTTCCAAGTGTCTCCATCAGCATGAAAGTAGGATGGGCTCTTACCTTCTGTATATTGGGGAATACTAGAATTTTCTCACTATGAATGTCTGAGACCTTACATTGTTCACTGCAACTTTAAGAACAAATTTCCGCCCTTCTTTTGATCTTGGGGATATGGACACTGGTATCCCAATTTTGTCTTTTTTTTTTCATTTGACATAGGTGAATATGTCACTCTTTGGAATATATTTCATTTGGACACTTAAAAATGAAACAAGCAAAAGGCTCAACGCTAAAAGGATACCCTGAGCATGGGAAGATTTTGGAAGAGAGATTTGCATCTTTACGTTTTTAGATCTCAGATGAACAGGCCAAATGCTTACATAGAGTTTGCAGCTATTCTGAATCAGTTTCATAGATACGGTGGGAAAAAATACACTGAAATTCTATCTTATAACTAGATGGATTTGTACTCTCCCTAACACATGGTGGACTGGGGTTTTTTTTTTTTTTCCATCCCAGAACTACTTTGGATGGCATGCTGGGAGAAGGCAAAAAGTAGATTAAGCCAAGACAAAGAAGTGAATGCATCCAGAAATAAAATCTGATTTAATGGAAAATTGCATTAACTTAAAAATGCAGTCCATATGATTGCTCTTGATGAATTTAAGGTAACAAACTAAAAATTACAGTTTTTGAAGAGGCTGAATCTAAGGTTGTATACGCTCTTTATAGCACTAGATTTTAGTTTAAATCCCTTTGTCCCATAAGATCCAGTTCTCATCCTGCATCTTGTTTTACTGATCTGGTGTTATTCTATATTTGAATAACTTCTATCCTTCCTTTTAGTAGCTTAGTTGATAGCCAGGTCATAATTGTTCATGTTCTAATGATTTAACCTTGGAAATGTGGCTGCCTTTTCTATTGTTTAAAAATTGCAATTGACTTAGATTAGTATGGAAAGATTATAAATGGGTTGGTATACAGTGTTTTGACCACATCTGTGCTTTGTCAACTCCCTGTCATTTCTACGTCAAATTGAAAAGGTTGATTTTAACTCTTAAATAATCCCATCAAAAAAAGGAGAGCAGGTAACTCATTTTTAGAAATGGAATTCCAAAGAATTTTTTTTAATGAGAGGGCTACCCTGTTATTGTCTATATACACTTTTTAATGTGTCGTAAACCCCTTTTTATTCAACCCAGCATTTTAAGCAAAGAATTATTTGAATTTCACATTTTAAATTTACCTGAATTATTATTTTATCTTCCATTACGTGTTTTAATGTTGGGTTTATATTATTGAGCCACTAAGACAACTTGTGGTGTCAGATTCTCTACATAAAATTTGGGAAAAAGAGACTTACATTGCACGGACATTCATCTTGGAAACATTCCTTAAGATCAGATATTCAGGGAGGGACTCAATTCTTCATCAGCTAACCAGAGTTTGCGGATTTAGGACGGTTAAAGTAGTGATATTTAGACATCCATTGTTTTCATATTCACAAATTTTGACATGATATGCAGCAGGATATGGCCAGTGTTCTGTATTTATATTTTTATATATACAGATAAATGTGTGTCATATCAATGTTGCATCATGTATATTTGAATATGTACAGTAAATGGGGAAACACAAGTGTCTTTGTGTCTGCAAATATTTTGGCATAGATCATATGGTACACTACCTTCTCTTTCCTTCCCCTCTCTCTCCAAAGAAACCTGAATACAATCTTAATCAGGTTCTGGTTGTTATCTGAGCACAGTGTGTCAAGACAACTAAAGAAAAGATCAGCTATTCATTCCTTTGTGAGTTCATCAATGAAACATAGACAGTAGGAGCTGTCTCTGTGAGAATGTCTTTCAGCTTCTTACACCTGACATCAATCCCTCTGTAACCTTTTATTTATATTTCTTTTAAGGGACTAAAATCTGTCTGAAAGACATCAGATTGACATTCTTGAACACTGATGCCTTTTATCAAAGAGAATTTTAAAAAAGATAGAGCTCTGCTGGCTTGAATGCAGCCTTTATCAACATTGTGTCCTTAACCGTATATTGAAGTGGAGGGGTGAAAGTTCATTCTCTCTGTCACTTCATTCTTCTGTTAAGAATTGTGTCAGCAAGGATGGTAAGAGCAGGATGCAATCTTGTCGTAGAATGTTCTTTTGCAGGAGGTATCCTTGATTCTGAACACCTGAAATGGTCTGGAAATGAAAAAAAATGCATTGTGTAACTCCAATTCTTTTTTTTGAGTGTGTGTCTCTGTGTGTTCTGATTTATTTATAAATAGCACTCACTTTCTATAGCAAGAGAAAATCAAAAATAGTTTTATTTGTAAGCTGAAGTAGTGGCTATAGAGTTATAAAGATGATCTATGTGCTGAAGACTTTTAAAAGTATCTCTTCATATTTCCTGGAAATGCATAGATTGAAGATTAACCATTTTCTCTTAACATATTTCATTAATTAACCAAGAAATTGAGAACTAGTAGTCCAGGTCATTCACAGTGTGATGTTAGTGGGTGTTAAAATTAATGTTCAGAATGTACAATCAAGTCAAATGCTAATGCAAAAATAGCAAAACTATTCAAATTCTTATTTTACTGGAGCCTCATGTATTTCAAATATAATGTAGCTCTGGAAGGTATTGTGAACAGTCTGTTGGATCCTGAAGGTACACTTTTAAATTTTCTTTAAAAAATGAGAAATATACCAGCTTCCCAGATCAAAACAACCAGAAAATCAGCATGGGGTGGGAATTCAGTCTGAGTGTGTGTGTATATGTATTGTTCTATCTTGAAAAGCTATGGGGGGGGGATATTGTCCTACACTAACTGTGGTTAAATGTGGCTTTCTGTTGTTTTCTAGAGTTTTTAAAAAACAACAGAATAATTTTGGGGTATAGAACATGTAACATGTGCTTTTCTATTTGAGTGAATCTGAAAGTTTTGGTACTAATATGTTGGTATTCAAATGGACATTTGAAAGATTGCATTAAGTGAAATTTAGATTTTAGCCTATCTATAGATCAGGGCTTTTCAACCAGTGGTACAAGTACCACCTGTGGTACATTGGCACCTGGCAGGTGGCATGCGACCATTCCAGAAAAGTGGTAGCGGGGGAGGGGAATGAGCTGAACCAGTGGCAGCACCGCACAAGCTTGAGCGAGAGATGGCTGGAGCTGCAGGGCTGTCAGGGCTCAGCAGAAGTGCCAGGATCAGCGCTTCTTCAGGGCTGTCAGGGCTCAACGGAAGTGCCAGGATCAGCGCCAGGCTCCAGCTGGAGCTCGGCGCTGATCCTGGCACTTCTGCTGAGCCCAGAAGAAGCGCTGATCAGCTGGAATGTTGCAGCATCTCCAGGGTCTTGGGATTTACATTCAGATGCTTGGCAACTGATTCAATTCAACCAAACACCCCCCATCCCACCTCCGCTGCCAATCCTCAACAGAAATGATCACAACAATGAAAACCTAGGACAGGAGGAAGATCGCCACCGGGCGGGCAGGTGTCTTGCTCGTCTGTGGCTTGGGGGGCACTTTTTCCAGTGCCATTGTAACTTCAAACAGTCACTAAGCGAACTGTTGTAAGTCGAGGACTACCTGTACTTTATTACTCCCCCCCTTTTTTGGTTATCAAGTTTTTCATACCTTGCTAGGCGACTGGTGGTACTCAGATATTGCCATATCCTAAAAGTGGTACAATGGGTGAAAAGGTTGAAAAGCCCTGCTATAGATGACCCTTATATCTACTTTAGAAATTTTACATGGACCTTCTAGGTACTTCCTATCAAATTAATAAAAATGATTCACAATGGTTCCTATACTGGAGCCACTTATTACCATTACTTCATATATTCAATATGAAGTTTCTGGCCATCAATATGAAAGCCCTGTATGGGCCAGGCTTTTACTAAGAACATCTACTTGCCCTACCAGATCAGAAAGGGTAGGCATGCTACTGGTTCCTTCCACCCAAAATAAACATGCCTTTTCCATAACAGTCCCTGCCCTATTGAACACTTTGCCTGGCCTGAGGTTTGCCAGGATTCCATCCTTTTAGCCTTTTGTAAGGATCTAAAGACCTGCCCCCCCCCAGTTGTTAGGAGTAGATTAGATCAGAGGTTACCAACCTTTCATGGTTGGCGGACCGGAGAAAAGGGAGGGGAAAGCATTACACACACACACACACACACACACACAGGGCCATGAGCATGCGCATGATGCAAATGAGGTGGGGCGAGTGCT